CATAGATTTCAAAGGAAGATGATTCAAGTCAAGGTGGAGATTTGTTGATGTGACTTGAATCGAACTAGCAGCCGCTACGACTAGAAGTCCCGGGCCCGGTCAGTGAGTGGGGTCCAGGTGCAACGCCTCCGACCCACGGTATATGGGCTCAATGTTATTTGTGTTCGGGTTCTGAGCCTGGTTGTAACCGTTTTTCCTTTACCATATTGGATTAGGGTTAGACTTAGGAGAAGTACTATAAATACTTCTCATACTCCTCTGTAATCCGTATCTTCTCAAAGTATAGTGAAACTGACTCTCTCGTGCCCGTGGAGTAACTAACACACATTGTGTTGATAAACCATGTAAATTGTGTATCGTGTGTGCTTTCGTTTCTTGCATTATCGAATACTCCTATTTCCCGATCCGCAGAGCAACCATCGTGACATACATGTAAGTGTAACTGATGCAATGGTTTCTTGATGGTGTGACGTATCATTGAGCAGAAAGTCGACAAAGGTGGAAAACCTAGCATTATACAGAGCTTCAATTTCCTTGTTTTCGGTTGTCAAAAAAAAAAATTTCCTTGTTTTCCGATTTTCCTTCTGGGCCACACTTAATTGATACGAGAATCTATCTAGCACAGTAGCGGTAATGTTGCGTACGGTATGCAATGAATTAATACCTTTGACAATTTTTTTGTACTTTGTTTGTGGACAAGAAAATATCTTTCATTTACATGCACCCGAAGAAAATGAGGTGCATGGAATATATAAGAGTCCTTTTGTTATTGTACTAGCTAGGTCGTCGTCGAGTAATTAATATGCATGCACCTTGCACCATACGAAGTTAACTTGTCCACTATAATTCGCCGGCAACTTCTTATCCCGTGTCTGTCAATTTGGTTCGGTTAACTCGTTAAATATGATGATCGAAAATCAAATCTATCAAATCTTCAAGAAACTGAAACGTTAGCTGCATAGTTGGTTTTGGGTTTAACAATAAGGCCCTTAATATTTTTGGGTTGGTTTGGATAACCAAAAAATCCATTTGCGAAGTCCAAATTGGTGTCACAAATGACAGTAATAAGCATGAAGATAGAAAAGAAGTTTGATATATACACATAAGTCGGTGACAACAGATTTTTTTTTTTTTTTACATGAGACAACACATATTGTTGATGGGTATTGATTTAATTAGGATTTTACCAGTTACTTACCATTTTTTTTTTTTGTTGATTTTACATTTAAACCAAAAACATAAGATATTAAACAATGTAAAACCAAAATATAAAATCATCAAACATCTTATCGATTTTGTTTATTTTAAAAACCAAAACACCAAAATCAAACTGTCAGGTCTAGCCTTATCTTTTCGCGTACTCGTTCAAACTTGACCAAGGAAACATGCACACCTTCTGTTCAATTTATGTGACTTTTGCTTGGTTTACCTTTTCATCCAATTTCATGCATGTCATAATTGCGACATATAGCAATGCGATGATATCAAGACCGTAACTAGTTATTACGTCATTAGTACTAATTAATAGCATGTGTGTACATAAAATTATATTTTGTCTCTTATCATTTTGTGTTTTGCACGTGTGTTAATCGGGGGCTAACTAGCTAGGTTTTCTCACATCCCTTCTGGGAGTGTTTTTTCCGTGTTCGCTACTTTTTCCATACAATCCCATTAGCGGAAATACACAATTTCATTTCACTCTTTATTATGTGATTTACATATATATCGAATGAAAGAGTTTAATGATGTAATTAACCATTATATATAACTTTACTCATAAACAATCAAATTATACCATTTTTGTGGCATAGAGATTTTTTCAATTGTAAATGACTCGTGTGTATATATATGGTGACTACTTCGGTGCACTCACAAAAATGAGTGCATTCAGTGCACCCAACTCAAAAACTAGTCTTATTGTGTCGGATTTTGAATTTTAATTTGTAGAATTAGTGTAATATGATGATAGAACATATGATACCAACTAATTAGTGGATTACCCTAAGCCCTAGACCTCCAATTTTGAGTTCTATCCCTAAACCCCAAATTGTAAACCCTAACCCTAACCCTAAATCTCTAAACTCTAAATCCTTCAAATTAAAGTAAATCTTTAATGGTTTTTGTGCAAATTCATGTGCGTTATTGTTCATCACATCATAAGTGATGATTGACATTATTTTGACATAAATCGCATGTTTAAAATGACGGTTATGAAGCGAGTGCACTGAATGCACCCAAAAAAGTGAGTGCACCAAAGTAGCGTATATGTGACAAAGACTAGCGTATATCAGATGTACGTTACGCCTTTGTTCACACTTGGTTTTTGCACTTCAATATATTTCGCTGAATCAGAACCGTCGGTTATTATTTTTTTTAGATTAAATGAATCTTGTGCCTTGAGTTAGAGAATTAGAAATTGGGGTTCACCCATTAGAGGTTAGATTATAATATCATGCCCCAAACTATGATTAATTCGTGCTCTAAATAATAAAACTCCATGATCGTACAATATACACCTGACCTACACTAGTCTGAAGTATATATATTTCTCACTCCACCCAACCGGCCATAACTTAAAAGCGTTTTCTGATGATAACATTTTTTAGTCCATAAGAACCTCTGGCTTATATATGGTCCAAACTCTCCGAAGGCCTAAAGTATATATATAGGTATAGCATCTTAGCTTAGCCCCACTATCTAACATTGGATGATAAGATAGTATATGATCCATGAACTTTTGTGTTTGTGCAACATTTATTTTTGTATATCCATGTCAGTTGATAAGACAAAAGATAAACTTATTTTTATTCTCCTCTCATTTCCATCGGCCATTAGAGTGTTTGGCTTTAAGCACCGAGACATATTTAGCAATCCATGATTAGGGTCAATGCATATGTAGGATTTGGGTACCTTATGCATTGACATGGAGAATTGGAAATTAACATGTACCAATACGTTTGAATAGCTCTCGACGTATTTTAAGTTGTGTCATCGATCGTAGAGTCACTTTTGAGAGAGATCAGGGGCTACCACACAACTACCACTACTAGTAACTCGACGACTTTCAAGTCAAACTCATATCTCCTCTTTGAATTGGCTTTGTCGTCGGCATTCTCTAGACGGCGAGAAAGAGAAAGAGATCTCGTCAATGGAGAAAGCATATTGATTGATAGACACCTGTGATAATTTCAAATACACATCCACTTAATTGGGTATGTGAGATGAAGGAAAAATAAAGAATGAACGACCAAAATAAAGTTGTCGCGGTACAAACCCAAAAAGGAGTCTGCAACTTAACCTATTCCATAACGCCTCTATGTAAGAACACGAGTTATAACCCCTTCGAAGTTTCAAACTCTTGTGAACTTTTTTTTATTTGGTAATATTCCGCTAATGCGATTCCTACACCTATAACTCTCCAAAGTTAAGTTCAACCATTTAATTAGTTTGTGTCCGTTTCCACTACAATCCAACAACCAAATGAATTAAACAACGTCGGTCTTGCCTTTTATTTTGTTTATGAAACGGCAGTCATGCCTTTTTGCATTACAAAAAGGAAATCTCTGTTTGACTTTAATGCGTAAACCCACCCGGAGATTAACAAATGACAATATTATTATTTCATCTACCACGTACAAAGTCTTAATAGAAAACAAGTATACTTTCGATAATATATAAAACTATAGTGGAGGAAATAATAAGATTTTGAAAGGTAATGGTCTAATGGATCGGATACTATACCTAGTGTTGTTTTTATTTTGTTGCCAAAATATAATGTTGAAATGAGTTCGAGTAAAACTCATATCCATGAACTAAAATAAAATTTAATCCAACACATTTTCGATATAAGTAAAAACTCGTAGAATTCTATCCATTCATTTTATATTTGAATATTATACTCAATCAATCAGATTAGATATGTAAATATTCATGGTTTGGATAAAATTGTCATCCAAACAGGCGGCAGGCCCCAACAGTGGCACCAGCTGTCGGCCGGTAAACGACGGTTGAATGCAGAAGAAAGAATTTCAGTTCTAAGAAGTTCAAAAGCCATGTTTTGTTTGTCCGACGGCAATGCATAGTATAAATCCTTCTTTTGCCTCTTTCTTTGACACCATCCTACCATTCCCACAAACCCACCAATGAGTAAAACAAGCATACAAGAGCACAACAACCCCCAAACCCAATGCTATTTTTTCTTTTTACTCAACAAAAAAAGTTTACATTTATTTTAAAACTCTCATTGTGAAAAAAAGTTCAAACTTCAAACTCACATGAGTGTTAATACTCTTTCCTCACAAATTCAACCAAACATAGTCTGACTCGTTTAATTCAATTGACCATACATAAATTGTGAATGACGCATATAAAAAATGTCATACTTAAATCACAACAGACTAATACGACATGTTTCTCAAACCATAAATTGAAATATTTAACTCGTTCAAAGAACCTTCATTCCACTGGATTGCAAGGATTGACGAAGAATGATATTGAATAATCTAACTTCAAATCTTGCAAACGTATAATAAACCATCAAATCTAATGAAAATGTGTTCTTAAGCTTAATTGAATATAAACTCTACCTTCTCAATCCTCCCATATATAGTTATCAACGTATATACGAGATCTCGAACTACAAATTAAATCAAGAACAACACTAATCTAATAAGTTATTGATTTTTTTTATTCAAATATAATTTCCCATTCGAATCGCCAATAAACGAAAATAAAATAAGAGGGTAAAAGAAAAACAACAAATTAGACAAATCCATCCAATGTTGTCAAGAATATGCTACACTAGGGAAGGAAGAAAAAAAAAAACAATAAAAGAAAAAAGCCATCCCTAACGACGACAAAATGCCCCACCAATTTATAACCCCCACTCTGCTCCTCCTTCCCTTAAACCCCCGCCACCACCACCGCTCCTCCATTAAACCTCGCTTTAACTCCTCCGTTGAAACATCCTTAAAAAAGAAACCCTCCGCTCCTCCGACAACATGTGCAACGTCTCATCATCATCCTCCCCTTCTCCCAACCCCGATTCTCCTCCTCCTCCTCCTTCCCCAACCAACAAAATCAACATGATCACCAAACCCCTAATCCCCAAATCCCATACTTCCCCAAAATCCAATCTCTCCCAAGTAATCCAGGAAGCCAATCGAATCGCCGCAATCTCCCTCCCCACAATCCTCACCGGCCTCCTCCTCTACTCCCGCTCCATGATCTCAATGCTCTTCCTCGGCCGCCTCGGCGACCTCCCCCTCGCCGGCGGCTCCCTCGCCATCGGCTTCGCCAACATCACCGGCTACTCCATCCTCTCTGGCCTCTCCTCCGGGATGGAACCCATCTGCGGCCAGGCTCACGGCGCCAAACAGTACAAGCTCCTCGGTCGAACTCTCCACCGCGCCACTCTGCTCCTCCTCCTCACCTCCCTGCCCATCTCCATCCTCTGGCTCAACATCAAGCCAATCCTCGTCCTCTGCGGACAGCAGAACGACATCGCTTCGGAGGCCCAATCCTACATTCTCTACTCCTTGCCGGACCTGATCTCGCTCTCGATTCTCCACCCGCTCCGAATCTACCTCCGGACCCAATCCATCACTCTGCCTCTCACCTTCTGCGCCTCGTTGTCAATCCTCCTTCATCTCCCAATTAATTACTTTTTGGTCTCTGTTTTCCAATTGGGGACGAAGGGAGTCGCGATTGCCGCCGTCTGGACCAATTTCAACCTCGTCGGGTCGCTGATTGCTTATGTAATCATCTCGGGGGTTTACAAGAAGACGTGGGTGAGGGTTTCGTCGGAGAGCTTCAGGGGATGGAACTCGCTGCTCAATTTGGCGATTCCGAGCTGCGTCTCTGTTTGTCTGGAGTGGTGGTGGTATGAGATCATGATTTTGTTATGTGGGTTGTTGGTGAATCCGAGGGCCACCGTGGCTTCGATGGGGATTTTGATTCAGACGACGGCGTTGATTTACATTTTCCCGTCGTCGTTGAGCTTCGGGGTTTCGACCCGGGTCGGGAACGAGTTGGGGGCCAACAACCCGGTTCGGGCCAAGATGGCGGCCCTGGTTGGGTTGGGGGCGAGTTTCTTCTTGGGCGGGTTGGCATTGGTGTTTGCCGTGATGGTGAGGAATGTGTGGGCCAGGATGTTCACCGGCGACGTCGAGATCCTGGCGCTGACGTCGATGGTTCTGCCGTTGATTGGATTGTGCGAGCTGGGGAACTGTCCGCAGACGACGGGATGTGGGGTTCTAAGAGGGACCGCGAGGCCGAAGCTCGGGGCGAACATTAACCTGGGTTGTTTTTACTTGGTCGGAATGCCCGTGGCGGTTGTGCTGAGCTTTTACCTGGGGTTCGATTTCAGGGGCCTCTGGTTAGGTTTGATGGCCGCACAGGGTTCGTGCGTCCTTGCGATGTTGTTCGTCGTGAGTCGGACCGATTGGGAGGTTCAGGCTCAACGGGCCAAGGAACTCACGACTAGTAGTTGCAATGGCCCAATGGACGAGAACGTGGACGTTATTGCTGCCGATGACAGTGATAAGAGATTAGTTAGTGATCAAGTGGACGAGTCAAATAATCCTTTGTTATTGGTTTAATTTTTTAAGAGGGGGTTAGAAGATATTTGTTTATTTGATCGGATTTTAGATTGGTCTAGGTTAGGAAAAAAAAATCTTTATTCAGTTTCGTGAGCGGACCGGAATTTTGTAATGTTTTGTATACTAACCAGAAAGGTTATATAATTAGATTTTTTTTAAAACTTTTGTCAAATGAGATATGGTTGGCAGCTGATTTGGTGCAAAACTAAAACGTTAGTTGTGTATTTGAGATAGATTAAATACTAAATTACGTTGGCTTTGAGTAGGGTTAAGCACCATGGAAACGTTTGTTCAGTAATTAAAGCCATTTTTGTTTAACGTAGGAAGTGATTTATCCGTTTATGTTTGCCGAATGGGGGAAAAGGAGTTGCTGTGTCTCCATTCTCCACGAACGAGCATAGAACAGGGCGTGAATCCCACGCGCGAACGGGGCGAGTGTGGCCGGCGGAGGGGAACAGTTGACCGGGTCATGTTTTGCAACTGTCGACGTAAAGTTGGAACTCTTCCGGTCATGCCTTTCTGCTGTGTTCTATTCCTAAGTCGGCCAGTCGGGTCAGCGCGCCGGTGTATACCCGTCGTTTTCCGGCGAACCCACACGAGCAATCCGTTGAATTCCAAATAAATATGTGAAGAATAGTATTAGTTTTGTGATGGTCAATTTTGTGGCTCTGATGTTGTGGAAAATTCTTTTGTGCTGGTTGGAATTGGAATGCAACTGGAAATTTGTGTGAATAATTAATTGCAAGCAAAGAAATTAAGTTTTGGAATTTAACTTTTGAAAAAACAGTCTATCTTGCTATTACTTTTGTGCAGCCTTTTCTATTTGTAACAACGGATAATTTTAATGAACAAGGAAACAATAATTTACGTTCAATAAGTTGTTGCGACTGAATCACTCAATCAACTACGCTATTCAAGTCCGTTGATGAAGTATAGAAAATTGAAACGAATTGAGGGAAAGCTGAGTAGTTTGCTCTCATGTCGTGATTTTTTTTTTGTTTAATTATTAGATTATTAAGGGCCGGTTTGAAGAAAATGATTTGGACTATAAATTTAACAGAAGATTATACTTTTATTGTTTTTTGTATCTTGGGTAACACTCCCGTCCGGTGGTGCTAAGGGGCTTTTGCTTTTGGAACACACCACAGTTTTTTGCTGACTCCTCAAATCAAGTTTTTATCGCAACATGCTATGTTTTCTCCCTCATTGCTAGTAGGTTGATGCGTCACACGCTCGACACACATGCTTTGGCCTTGTGTGTCCTCAACTCAAAATTGATGCGAGATTGAATCCAATCCAAAGAGAAGAGATAAAAATCACGAGGTGAACACTTCATCCCTTCCCATAAAGAGGGGTTTTTTTCTCATTCGATATATTATGTGCAATTAATGTTTCTGGATCTAATAAGTTAAATTCTATATCTTGATTTTTGTGAGATTTTTTTCTCCTACTTCTACCTCTTCTTGTTTTATTTACCTCACTAAATACACTTACCTATAAATTGTCAGTACATTTTAAGTTACTCGCATTCTTTTAATTAAGGGTGAACATGTCATTTGAGAAACAAATATCATCTATATTTTTGTGGATTGTTAACAATACAAAACAATGAAAATTTTATAGTTAAAAACAATTATAAAAAAGAATTAAAATCTTTGAATTAATTACGGTCAGAAGAGATAAAAAAAAAAAAAGTTATCAATATTTTTCATAGTTGACCGGGGAAGTGGGTTTCCTAAATTTATAGACCAATAGGAGCAATTACCTTGCTTACACAACGTATTAAATCTCGGCATCAAGTACTAGAGTAAGAGCCTTCAAAAAACTTGTTCTATGCTAATTGCTATGCTTTACTTTAAACCCAAAAACTATGATTTCAACGCCCTGTATCGTGCAAATTTCATAATCTTCTGTGATAGGACTTATGGACTTTGAACCTTATTCCGTCATAAAGAAATAATTTAAGGTTTCTCAGTGGTCCATTACGTACCATGCATCAAAACCTTATTCTATGTTGTGTGGTACTAATTGTACCAATGATTGTTAGATTTGTGTTTCGCCAAGAAAGAAAAAAATCATATGCCGCTCCTTAGTGGTCCATTACCATGCATCTGATTAAACGGCATCGTTGACTTTTTTTTGTGTTTTTTAAGATTACGTGTTTATTTGAGACATTTTCTTAGGAACATAAGTAGTGCTTTGCTTATGAGTTGAAGTTTCTTTAGATCTTAATTTAGAAGGATCATAGAACGAATTCATGTATGCAATTCTAATGTCGTACTATTGAAAATTGTTGGGACACCAAGATCGGTACTTGTTGATGATATGATTGCTCTATATTGATGTGGTAAATTACACCCTCAGAATATGCGACATTATGAAAAATCTATTCTTTTTACGTCTTTTAAACCTCGTATATCTTACGAAGAGAAACAATATATAAATTACTCACAATGGTTGATCCACAACCCAAATCATGATGTATTCTCACCCCCTCAGTTCCTATAATGAGTATTCCTCCAACCATATTGCTAGCTTGATGTAGGTGTCCGCCTGTAGCACTAGATTCCATCATGAACAACTTTAAACAAACGACTCTATAAATAAACTAACGCATCATGCATATATATTGAATTTAGTATAAGTCAACGCCTAGCCGTCTTCCAATTAATAAACGCCGCGAATTAAAAGTCCATAATTAATAAAACTGACTGATTAATGGAGAATCAAACGTACCATGCATGCATTTACTAATCTCTACCTGTCTATCTCCCACTATATAATCATTATACAAGGTAGGTTAAGCATAAATAAATAAATAAATAAAACTGATTTTAGTAAAACTAATGTTATTCGTAAGTGGCATCGCACGAGAATTGACATGGTATAGATTGATAGACATGGGCTCGATTTTGATAATCTATCATTGAAAAACAATTTTCTGATGCTCATTGACGGAATCATAAATGCGAATTAGCTGCTCACGTTAATTTAGTTTATCAGGGTTATCATATTTGCGATCCTTCGAGAAAAATGACACATATACAAGCTTTGCCGTCTCTCTATAGTTACTTATTCTGGCATAATAGCCGACGGTAGTGCTTGATGGAGAGAGAACAGCGGTCACCAAAGATCGACACGTGGAACCTCGTGGCCGGATTTGGGGTTGCCGTCGGCGTCGCCGGCAAATGTTGTAAGCTGCATTATCGTAAAGACAACATGCGGCCGGCTGTCTCAAAAGTTAGGAGAGGAATATTAACAAATTTTTTTTGTTTAATTTGGCTCTCGGAGGAATATTATTAACATAGTATGAACAAAATTTGACATTGGAAATAAAAACCTGGTGATTTATTTTACAACTAACAAAATTTTCATTATTGAATCAATCATTTCAAATCGTATACATCTCTATAGTATATATCAACTATTTTTATTCCCAGTTGGTGGAACATACACTATATAACCTTAATCAAACAAACCAAAAAAGTAGCCAATAATATTTCAAGCTGGAAGTTTGTGAAAATTTTGAATTCGAATAATTTTTGTTGTTTTCGGATCGGATGGAACCGTCATTGTTAGGATTAGGTTTAAAATAATGGCTTGACGACTTGAGTTGTTTCGTGTACAAACATTATACGAATCCAAATCCAATGTGAGAATATCCAGGAATCCAATTTTTGTCCAGCCCAATTCTAATCGCATCAAATACATTGTAAGTTAATTTTGATACAATATGATTCCATCTAGAATAATTAATAGATGTATACCAAATTAATAATTTGATGAGTCGAGCCATGATCATAAGTTCCAATGAAAGCATGTTCCCTTCCTACTTCGCTTTTGGCATGCAGCAGCTGGTCAAGGGGGGAGTTGACCATGAAATTTATGTAAATTTAAAAACGACTGAAAGGTTCTTTCCTTGCCTTCTTGACATGGATCCATCGATAGAACAATAAAACAGATACCATTGACAAAATAGCGTAAAATAAAATAAAAACAGCTGTTAAGGACGGCCGTGTCTATATATATGCATAGAGGGAACATGCCAAAATCCCATTTTTTTTGTTGTTACTCATTTGTTTCTGAATCATTCATAAGCACGAATTAGACAAACGAGTTAAACATTAACACGTGGGGAATTGTAGTCTTCATTTGACTCTGCCAATTCCATTTCATTAAAATAAATACCCCTCTAGTTATTGTTAAGAAGTTTCTTAAATACATCTCAATCTAGTAAATGGAGGAGAAAAAAAAAGTATGAAGGATATTTAGGGTAAAATATCTTTACCATATAAATATCAAATCTTTATTATTTTATCTAAGAAGTTGTAGCTGTTCCAGTGTGATAAAACTTTACCAAAAACCATTATTCCAATTGAAATTCGGTAAAATGGATAAAAATATGGAGGGCGGTCATGGACCATATATACCCAGAGGGGGACAACAATGCAATGTCATTATCCAAGTCAGCTGTTATATTATCAATTACTGAATCAATTACAGATTTTGCTTTGGTCTAACCTATCGAAAAAAGACTGTTCTTGTCTTCTTTGTCACTAAGTAATTTATTAATTAACATGTTGGTTTGAATTAATACAAAATTAAAGCGAATGGATGTAATGATGCCATTTGGATAGAAAATGCTTGCATAGAAAGCATGCATGCCCTTGAGCCTGCAGTCGGCAGATCGATCGAAGTTTGATGTAAGAGCTGAGCTAGGGTTTTTTGTCCGGCAGCCACCAGCCACCGCCGGCCACCGTCATTTTGTCGCAAGCACCACCGTCAGTGCCCCACCGTGCGCGCGCGAGTCAAAAGTCAAACCACATCGTTTTCAGTTTTCACTTCATTGCTTTCATTTAATTAATAATCTGAGAAGCTTTCATTTAATTAATCGGTAGCTAGTATATAGGTTGTCCTATTGTAAGGAAATAAATGAGATTAACAGCTCAGTTTTAATTTCAAATAAGCATGCTTCATGCCATAATTATGTTTTGTGTTAATATTATCACAGTTACCAAGGCGGGGGAAATTGTGTATGGATAAGATGAGATGATACTTGTGTATGGCATGGATCAAAGAGCAGTTTAAATTTATCTCTGATATGTAACTAGAAGAATGTATATGTACAATCTCGGTTTACATAAAAATAAAAAATAAAAATCACTTTATGAATAAAAACTTAAGAGAACGATCTGGCTAGCACTAATTATTTGAAGAGGATGGCGATGAAGCTACATTATTTTATATAGGACTCAAAATATATAAAATTTTCATATTGAAATAGAATAAATCATAACCGAGCACCATGGTACGCAAATAAGACACGCTTTCCACCCTTCACCGAGAAAGATAATACTCGTACATAACGAGTTCAAACAATTTGTGTTGAGCTAATGAGCTCGAAAATTACCAACTAGAATGAGAATGTACATAATTATAATTATTACAGGTTACATACAGTTTGGTATAAATGAATTCCATAAGTTTTGCGTAATTTATTTTGAAATGAAATATTTTTGTGTTTGGTATTTAAAAGAATTCATTTTCAATTATAAATTTTGAATTCTATGGAATTGGTACTAGTTATAGCAATTCCGATGAATTGAGATGGAATTTCCAAATGAATTCCACAACTATTTACTAATTATAATATAATAACATAATTATCCTCTTTATTCACTGAATTACTTATATATATATGACATACCAAACACAAGAATTCATTTGACAATGAATTCTACACGACAATTCATTATATTTTTAAAGATTTGAATATGATATACAAAACACAAGATTTCATTTGACAATGAATTCTATACGATAATTCATTTTAAAAGTGACTATATAGAATAAAGTGCAAGGAGTATGAAATTACCTAAATGGGCTTTTTTTCTTGTTTTCTAATTTTGGAAATTTAGGTTACTTGAATAAATTAATAAAAAAAAAGAGCCCCCCCTTATAAATTCCCGAAAAATAAATTCTCATTCGGCTGAATCAAAAAAGATTTGAGTATAGTAAAAAAGGGATTCTCGGGGGGGGGATATCCATATCTATATATATATGGATATATATAGCAATAGAACTAGGAAAGACTCTCTATTTTCGATATATAGAAAGAAAGGGGTGTGAAACTCCAATTATTGATTCATGTCTTTAAAAAAAATTATAGCTTACTTTGACTGCTGAGGGCCCTTGGTTGACTCCGGCACGAAAATTAGACAATTAGCCCAAACTCTTTGGAAAATAGAAACTTAGAATTGGGCCTTATTCGTTTTGCTTCATAATGTGATCCCCTCTGTCGTTGATACATCTAGGCCCATTTTGTTTGGGCTTTCCAGCAGTCTAGTGTATGTGGCTCTTTTGCCTTTGCCCTTCTTCTATCTTCCATGGGCCCATGACTTACAAACATCTGAATTCTTCATTTGTTTTTTGTCCTTATTTGTTTGGGCTTATTCTGGCCCACTTTGTGTGAGTTAGGTTTACTACTGATCAGTAGTAGAGGCATGCATGATTTGATCGGCATTCGACTAAACCGAAATTTGAACAAGCTTACAAGCTCAAATCAAATTCAATATAATATAATTAGATTTTTGGTTCAATGTGTTTTTCAAGAATTTTTAAAAATATCGTATCGATATTTCAATTGGACCAAACTGAACGAAATGCGCGGGTGATTCAGTTATGGTCATATACCAAATTGATCACTATTATATGATTTTTAACTGATGTTAGAATTTTAGAAGTAACTAGTTGCACGCTTCAAAGACCATGCTTGGCAATAAAGTAATGTAGAAGTGTATCACTTGGCTTGCAAACAATCGTGGGATCAGGTGTGCACATGTTTGTTGCAGACAATCCGATTGCTAAACCAAAAGGGAAGCTACTACGGTACGTACATTCAGGGGTGAGGGTGAGTATGCGGGTGGTTAATCCGCAGTTTAGTTTTGATCCACCCGCAAATAATTCGAACTGTAGTGGGTGAGTGATTGATGTGGATAGATTGCGAATTGATAAATCTCCTACTCGCATTTATGGGGGTGAGTGGATTGCGGGTCACCCAATCGACTTGCACCCTTTCTCACAAGTCAAAAGGTTACTTTTTATTTTTATTATCGAATAATTATCATATATTCTAACCGCATTACACACTGATGATCGAAGTATCGAACTAACCACAAAAAAATACATAATATTTGTTAATTGTATTAAAAGGAAAAGAAATTATTATTTGGCTATTCGCATCCTCCCCAATTGAAACCTGCCACGTGGGTACCATCCATTGTGGACACTAGGGGTGAACAAATACACCCGCAAACAGACCCACCCGTCCAACCCGACCCAACCCACCCGTATTTATCGCTAAAACGAAGGTTTTGGGTTGGGTGAAGATTTTCTTTTGTACAACCCGCCTTTTTTGGGTTGGGTTTGGATTTTGGATTACACAACCCGTGTTCCAACTATTAGTATGAGTTCGGATCTAAAAATATTTATGTCGTATATAGTCATATACTTATGAGAAAATTAAGAGTCAACTCAGTCACTGGACACACCTCTCTCCACATATAATTCATTCGTTCATTAAAAGTCAACTCAATCACACACTACTTCGATATAGTTTACAGCATTTCATAATCTGTAAACTACACATTAATTCATGAATGGCTGTACTGCCCTAGTGGGGATTTCTTATCTTTTCCATTTTGTGACAAAATTTCATTCCGCTTACTATTGTTTTCTTATGAGGAACACAACTAACCTAAAGATTTTTACATGAAGAAGAGTGGAGGAATCAGATTTAGTCTTTTACATGCTATAATAATGTATGCATTGTACTCTTTATAGTAAATTTTGCAACTTTGGACCCATTTGACAGGAAGACAAATACTTAAGAGTGGAAAAGCGAAAAACTCAACCAGTCATATCTTACCCTTCTTCTTTCTGTAGCTAAAAGGAATAATCTGGAGTATTAGCCATCTGTCATCTGAACTCCACCACATGTTTCTGTGAGACTTTGATTTAGCTTAGCTAGGCCTTCTAGAAACAAGAAACCGAACTCTGAGCTTTCTGATGAAATTCTGGACCCTTTTGGTAATCTGGCAGCTCCCTTTGTCTTCAAGTTAATCAAAAGTCTCCCATTTCGTTGTCACCACAACTGCATCACACTGCTTTACTACTGGCAATTGAAGAACTGTCACATCCTTTGCTTTGGCCTCAACTTTCTGCTGCTGCTGTTCCTGCTTCTGCTTTGTTGTTGTTTCTGCTTCCAAGTTCCCAACTTTGCTGCTTCCATTGCTTGAAGATCCAATCTCCAGCTTCAACATATCAAGAATCTCAATGTGCTTCTGAACCCTCCTTTCCTGTTCCAATTAGCAAGAAAGAAATTCAGAAACCTAATACTGTAAGAAAGAGTTGTGTTTGTGTATGCACGAAGCCTGTACGAGCTAATACCGTTAAACCATTCCACATGCAATACGAAAAATTAGATGCGTGTGTTGATATTTCTGTAAATAATGTCGATCAACACGCGCATCCAATGATTCAAATCGCTCGCCCTTGTCGGCATTTGTAGTGAAATTTTTGTGTATGGTAATAAACAAACTAATTACCTGAGTTGTTTTCTGCAACTTCAAGCTTCCATCCACCAAAACCCCATCCAACTCCACCAATTTGGACATCAAACCTTCTGTCAAATCATCTATGTCCTTTTCAGCAACTATCCCACCTTTACCACTCGTTGCTTCCAGGGATGTCACCTTGTGAACCAGTGAGTTGACCTCTGTGGTGATGTGGTCAATGGATTTGGAAGCCTTGTGCAATCTAGATGACTTAAGCATCTCCAAACAACGTCTTTCCCTGCTGGTGATGTCCTCAATTAGAACAATCTTGGATCCATTTTTCACCCTGGCAACATCCAAATAAGCCTTGGAATCCCTCTCTTTCTTCTTGTACATCAGCTTCTGGTCTTCTGGGTGGACTCCTGTTTCCCCTGCCAGCATTTTCTTCAGCTCCCCTGCATTTGAAACAGCCAGAGTCGGATAAAAAGCACATCAAAGACTGAAACTTTGGATGTGGTTAAGATTGGGGGTTTTTTTTTGGAGGTTACCAAAGCTTGCTTGGGAACTGATGGAGACATTGTGATATGAAGAGCCAAATTTGACTTTGACTGTGATCAAGGGAACAATTGGGAGAGGATGGGAATTGTTGCTGCTCTTCTGAACCAACATTCCTCCTGGCCTCATTTCCCATTCCTCAACTCTCATTTCTTCTTTCACTGAGCCATTCTTCTTCCTCTCATTGTTGTTCTGTGCCATGAAGAATATTGCTTCCTTCTTCATTGACTTCATTGCCTCCATGTCTTCATGAAATTTTTCTTGTGAGGATGGAAAATGGGGTAAAGATGCAAACTTTGGTTGAGATTGAGGTGACCCAGATGGGAAGAAACATGGGTTGGGTCTTTCTTCTCCTAAGAGCCACCACAACGATGGTGGCAAAAAAATATCTTCAAAAAGAGCATGTGTTAGAGAGAGGAGGGAAATGTGCTTGTTGTACGACTATGGAGAAAGCAGAAAGGTGAGGAAGTAGGGGAAAGAAAAAGGAATGAGAGGAGAATACAAAAATCAAAGAATGGCCATCAAAGGAAAGGAAAGGAAGTAAATTTGGAGAGTAGGATGGAAATAGAGAGGTTGTTCCTAATTATTTCTCCTTTTTCTCTTTGATAGTTGGAATAATTTTATGAGATAATTAAGATATCAGTCTTATATTAATATTGATGAGTAACTACTTTTAAAATTTTAAATTCAAATCATTTGTTATATATAAGAAAAATGTAAATGTTGTACACCCGTGTTCTACAACTTCCTTTATTTCATAATTTCTTGTTATCATCATCTTCGGAGTAGGGATGGCAAAAATATCCGTAACCTTGGATATAAGCCCGAATCCGGCCTAATCGGGTAGGGTAAAACCCGAACCCGAAGGACATTTAGTGGGTACGGGTAAAATCCGAACCCGAATATTGCGGGTAATGGGTGGGCATGAGTTTCTCACTATCCAACCCGAATCCGCCCGATTATACACATGCATATGTATTTTTTCTAGAAATAATCATTATTTTTCTCTAACATATTTTATATTTAGCATATAAATATAATATTTTCATGAAATTGTGTAGTTTTAATTAATTTTCTTCATTCTACTGAATTATTGTCGTACTTTTCCTCTTACGTAATGTGAGAATACGTGTGAATGTTAACATATTGCTTGGAGTTATGAAGAGAAATTATTACCCATGGATAACCGTGGATACCCGAAACCCGAACGGGTATGGGCATGATTTTAATTTTCTACCCATTTCACATGTGGGTATGGGTATGAGTAAAGCCCGAACTACTGTGGGTAGGGTAACGGATATGCACAATCCGCGCCCGACCCGACCCATTGCCATCCCTACTTCGGAGTGAATGAATGAGTGATGGCTTAGGTGAAGAAATGCAAAAATGGAAATCTTGGCAGTTTCTTATACAAGGAAAATTGTAAATTGTTAGGGAACTGGACAACGGTGTTATCATTTATATTGCTATTATTATTACCATTATAATTTCAATAGTAGAGTGTTATTATTGAGAGAGAAGGAAAAACATCCTTTTCTTTTTTCACTTGTATATTTATTTATGTTTGAAAACACAATGTTAAAAGGGTGTATTTGTTTTATACTCACCTATAATAAGATGAATTGAGGAGTCCCAAATGCATCATACATATGTTTATAGGAGAGACTAAGGTATGAAAAATGAATGATATGATGTGTTTTTCATGGTCACAAAAATCAGTATTATAGTTGCACTCTTGAAAACACATGGGATGGGATGAGAAGAACATCCTAGATAGTAATTGACGATAATAGATAGAATTGCAGCATTGACAGTACATGTTTTTCCCCGTTTTCTGTTGAATAATTACATTACATGAATTTTATTTTTGTAGACATTATTGGTTTTGTAGATCAACCATACTGAAGGCCCATCTTTGGATATTAATGTTAAGATGTTCAGTTGCCTGTGGCAATTTGCAGAGAACCTTTATGTGTGGGAGAATAAATGGATGGAGTTGATTGGTTCAGAAAATCTCATCAAATTTCATATCTAATAATAGTGAACATAAAATGGCTGGATAATTTATAATAAAAAAAAGGCTGGATGGAGTCATTACAAACATTAAATTAAAAGGGATGGTGGGGCTTGGGCTGGGCCACAGGCCCACAAGCCAGAACAATGAGGAGGGAAAAGCAAATAAATTGCCCAAAAGAGAAAAAGAAAAAATCAACAGCCAGTTGGCATCTGTCTGTCTGCCTAATTGTAATTTGTTTGGTTGGACAGACACTGTTTATGATGCTGTCTTTATTATTTTCTGTTTATATTAAGCCAAATAAAATCTTATGTGATATCCTTTTTTTTCTTTTAAATTCCCCTTTTTCCATTGTCGCAGCAGTTTGGTATAAACATCCACTCGATGATATGCTGCTAAGAATCTTTTCTTTACTGGACTCTAATTTGAGTGATTAAAGCAAGTCTGAAGTCTGAAGAGATTTATTGGAATTTAACGAAGAGTGACTAATAATGTAATGAAATTATTCAAAAAAAAAAGACTAATAATGTAATGAAATTTAATGGACTTTATGATGGAGAGTTTACACTTAACCAGGTCTGGATTACAAGGCCTTTTGATGTATTTTGGTTTTCTTTTCTTGTGATTTATTTTCTTGGTTCTGTTTGTGGTTGGTGGTTGGTACAGAATGTGATTTCTATTTTAGATGAATGCCTAATGACATTCAGAAGGAGAATAATGCAAGTGGGTTTGGACAGTTTTGTCTTTAGCCTCATAAATGACCATATTGTTATGCCCATTATTCCTCGCAATGCAGATTAGCTGAAAGGTTCAATATCAGTCCTGTACTATAGATTATTAGCTGTAAATAAAGTCGCAAATGACAAATTGCAGTTGGTACGTTTTGGAACTTTGATATAAAAGGATCAGTCAATTCAATCTGGGAAAGCTGGCCCGCTAATTATGTCATTTCAGAAATAATTATGGGCTAATTTGTTGACTGTGTTTCATTTCAAAACAACAAGAGAGTGGTTCCACCGCAGCAGAAAAAATGAAAATCCATCATGTTACTCTCCATTCATTCATCTATTTGTCCATAACTCTAAAATATGCACAACGAATCATACACGACGAAAATAATGATCAAATCGATGTTTCATGTTTGAGTTGGATTAAACGTGTTTGAATTATAATTCAATAAAATTTGAAACTCAATAGTATACTACATTGTGCGGTTGGTTGTTCTTTCATCCCCATCTTTTCTTTTATTTTTTTTTATCTACATCTTATAAGGAGTTGTGTTAATTCTTGTTCAGGCCGAATCGCAACCACCCTCACTTCTAAATCTTTATGAGTTTGAATTTGTGATATAGCTTTGTTAAAGAAGATCAAAAAGCATACAGAGGAAACTAACTAACTTCTATAGGCATGAAAACTATTTTTCCACCCAAATTGGTATGGGAGGTGACATGTTGAAGGGTAATTTTACAAATTGGTTCTATTGTTATGCTCCGACTAATATATCATGCCGATCAAATGTCATCTCTTTAATGAAAAGTTTGTTTTACCAATGTCTAATTCACAGCAACGACTCCCATTCAAGTTTGTTAGAATGCATGTTATACATTGTACTCACTCGATGTGTCCGGAACTTCGGATCTCGGTTAATTAATAACATAAGCAAGTGGGTAATTTTTGTATCCATACTCGTATAAGAATCCTCCCTAAAAAAAGCTGTCATTCTCAAATCAAGAGACTGCTTAATTGTTTATCATCAATCATCACATTTGCAATGTTCTTTGCCCTCCAAAAGTTTGTACATTACACATGACTGTCACGAGGTCCTCTCTCCAATTCCATTATACTTCCCCAGATTCAACAGTACACCCAATTTATGAATTTCTGTTAAGGAGGCCTTTCAGAAATGACACAACTTTATCGTCCAGCAAGCAAGAAGGCCTGCCTTTCATCATGGCTAATAAATGTAAGCCCATGTGGGTTTTCCCAGTGAAGAGTTTGGTGGTGGGAAGGAAAGGAATTGACTGTCACAGCATTTACTTCAACCCTTCTGCTTTGCATACCAACTTAACTAGGCATGGCCATTTAAGAACCTCCCTTCCTTTTCTTTCAGCTCAAATCTAATGTTCCCCCTCAAACAAGAAAACTCTGCAACTCTTACCATCCTCAAAATGTAAACCCTATGCAGAGACCTTGTTGACCTTTCTGGAGAACAACCTTCTACAAAAGATGGAAAATATAAGAGAAACACAAATCCAACAATAAGGTCTAATTTCTGCTGCATGCATTAGTGGAAGTAAGCAGTAGAGACCTGTAATTGGTTTACTATTCTCCATTTCTAGCACTAGGGCCCTTTTGTTTTCCCATCAATTGGAAGAAATACAGACTGCCACAGCAACAGAAGAAAGTATGACTTGGAGGATAAGCAACTAACACGAAACTTCAACAAGTGTAGCCAAATCGAAGCAATGGTACAAAGCATTTTCGGCCATGAGTTCTTCCCCTTGGATTTCTCTAATCCTCACTCTTCCTTCTTGGGCTTCGATCTAGCCGGCCTTGCTGGTTTGATGACGGACCCCAGAAGGATCAAGGCTATGGGAATAATGGTTCCTACGTAGTATACGCTGCCGTAAGCAGCAAGAGTTTCGTGCAAGCTCAGTACCTGAGAACGAGAGAGAACCAGTAAAAGGCAATCCAATGTTAGGGGTGTTCGGTTTCGGCTTCAAGTTTATTGAACAGAATTAAGCCAGTCGACAACCCTTATCGGAATAGAAATGTGCGAGAAGAGAATAGACTAACCATGAAGCCGACACACGAGTAGTTTAGGACCAAAATTGTGTAAGCGAAGTTTGTGAGAGTGAAAATCTTCTTGATTAAACCCTTTGAGGCTTGTTCCCACCTATATATAACTGATTTTGGAAAATGCCATCGAAAAAACATGTTAATAATGTTTTCCTGAAAGGGAGAACCACTGAGATGAGAGATGATCATATTAGTTACCTCTAGATCCAGCAATCATCAATGCCGACTGAACGAAGAATATGAGGTAACCTGGATATAATCCCTGTTCAGTTGCAAGAGGCAACAAATGAAAAAGGTTAGAAGATCAGGTCAAGTGATCACACCATCAAGAGATGTGACCCTAATGATATCATATCTCACTTAACAGATGCTTTTTATTATATCTTCCAAGATCGTAGAAGGGAAAAGTTGTAGAATCTAGAATGGACCCAAACTTGAAACAACCTCAAATGGCTGAGCACACCAAAGAACAGAGAAAGCAACAGATGAGAAATAACTATTTAAAAAATATGGGTGTATGTAAACAATCTCTGTTGGATGGAAAGGTAGTTAGCACCACTGTACCAATGAGGAATAAGTATAGCCCCCGGGTATAGAAGAGTTTCCAAAACTTATCCTCTATAGAGACGTCATTAGGTTGGTGAACTTGGGATGATGGATTGTTCCCAAAGTCTATAGTTTGGCTGAGCTAGTTTGATCATGGATTTATAAATGTGGGAGTTGATAGAATTCAAAATCTTTGGGTCTATTTGACACTATTGTCCCTAATGCTTCTGAAAGATAACTCACCAATAAAAAATATTCACGATTTCAGTCTTTTCTCATTTAACCAGAGAACCCCCATAACAATTCACCTCAATAATCAGACAACCAAACAATATATCTGGAAAACTATACATTCCTACGATCCATCTGTTTCAAAATCTATTCACTTGCAACAACCTATCCAATTTTACAATCCACCACTGAAACGATTACATCAACAGGAATCTGTTGAAGATGGTTTCCTTTCTCCTTTTGATGAATAGCTCTAGAAGATGGTATTTACTATCCAAGTTTAGCAGCAATAAACAAAATGGACAAACTAAGTGCACAACACAATGAACTTTCCTCGAATTCGTAGAAATATAAAATAACACCTAATAACGAATCCTCGTCACATAATACTAGTGATGACAGTAAGATAAAAGTACCAAGATGTGCTTCAACTTTTCATACATGCAAGGTGGACCAAACAATTTGGGCAGGTAATGTGTATAGTATTTTGAGGAAGAAACAAAAGGCCTAAGCTTAAATGAGATGCCCGTGTCAATATTTTTTTTCATGATAGGTAGCAATTTATAAGCTCAATTCCAAGTGCTTAATTCCATATGACAGTTTCCAGTCAAGTTTACTACCAATGCAGGGGGAAAGAAGATGCATAAGCAATATATAAAACAAGACATCTGATACTCACATGCCAAACAGCACTGGTAGTTTGTGTGGCCAACAACTGAAAGAAACCAGGCTTCTTTCCCTTCTGAATAAGTCTATCATAGACATCTGTTACAGCAGAAGCAAGCAATCTACATCAACAACTGCTCTTTCAATCATGGCAACATAATGTTTACATGGACTTTCAGATCACCTATAATTTTACCACTCAATCTATCATTATTGGTCAGCCAATTAGCCCATTAACCATGAAATCAGACATATCAATGTATGCAAAAAAGTAATAACTTTCACAAGATTCTACCATCCATATGATCAACAATATACAAGTATCAAAAATCAAAAGCCATAAAGTATTATGCTAATGCTAACACAATTTATGCAAGTTGCAGACACTCTTGGCAATCAGTTGCAAGTTATTGAAGCCAAGTCTCTTGCTCCAAAAGTAATCTTTGTCCTACTCATATGCAATAAAAGGCTGGAAAGAGGAAAGCTTTTGCTGAATTTAGTAGTAAATACAAAAGTTAACTCACAGTGACGAAGCCAGGTGCTGACTTGGATGTTCCACACAAGAGGCAAGACAACCGAACTCTTAGCAAACTCAACACCAAGAACATCAACATTTATAGCATGATCCCATCGTGGCTTTGGTGGTGAGCTATCAGTCCAGCCACTGAATCCAAGACCTGAGATCACCATAGAAGCCTCTGAAATTGACCAGATAAAATAGTACTTCCATCTTGCCGTGAACCCCGACATGTACTGGTAACTCAATCTTCTCCAGAAACCCCATTCTTGGTATACTGAATCAGTGAAGCGGGACAAAGGATGGTAGGGCACCAAGTACAAGTATAGGCCCATGCAAATACCAGCTTGAATAATTGCTCTTAGTGTTGCTAAAAACGGTGATGGCCATGGTCCTGCCCATATCTACAAAGACCAGAATGTAAGAAACTAAGGATTTTGATTTCATAAACCAGGCCAGCAAAATCAAACAAGAAAGTAGATGTACTTAGTTCACATACCCCTTTCCGTTCGGTCCACTCAATGTAATCCTTCATTTCATAAACCGGGCCAGCAAAGTGGGTACCACAGCAGAGACAGTAACCAAAGTATTCAATCAAAGAAGGCATCTTCACTAAGCGGTTTTTCTTCTGAGCCTCCCGTAAGTCATCTTCCTTCAGTATTCCATCGTTGTAGTTCATGGCACATGATATCACTTTGAGAGTCAACACCATTAATGCCCCTAGTTTTTCAAAAGACACCAAGGATTACTATGAAGCAATAACAGCAGAGATATGTTCAATATTATAGGACTGGCATCAATTCATTTTTCTACCTAAACATAGGATGTCAACACAGTAAAGTTGCACTTACCGGTGGCATCAATGCCTCCTTCTTTCCATGCGTCACCACTCATGTAATATACATGGCTGTATGTACACCAACAGTTAAAAGAACTCTTAGTAAGTTCTTTACTTCCATCCACACTTATTTTGCATCAGTATGTATATAAATAAAGACACTTTTGCTGAATCTAAATCACGAAAATAGTATCCATGAGAGGTATGCAAAACACAGTATATTGTCGATAGATCTCACACTAGGAGTAAAGCAAAAGAGTAATATACTACCATAAGTGTTTAGCCCCTAGCTCAAGTACTACTAGAGCTCATCTATTTGAGAATTAATACAATCACGAACAGTAGGCATTAGTTCGGTCCACAATTCTAGAATGGATAATTGTTTCCAATTTGAGAGGGAGATGAAAGAAAGAAAGAGCTAAAGATAAACACTCTTCCATGCCTCATCTTATCTCATAGAAACCAACTTGGCCAAAGAAAACCCAGAGTTTAATTTTGTCTGATATGCAAATTTGTCCCCTTAGAGTCAGAGAAGTGAGAACCACAACAAGCAAGCCGAAGAGATTGGACACACTTCTGCGCCAGAATCAAACAAACTTCATAGACTGATTTTTCTATTCGAATGAAACTGAAGAAAACAATGCAACTTACAGATTCAGCCTCAGTGAACCCAGGATAAAGGCGTCAATAGAAAGAAGGGAGGAAAAAGCTCAGAATTTTCAAATTTTACAGTCTTCCCATGCTCTCCTTAGTTCAAGCAGGACTTAACCAATGCACGAATTTAGACCTAATGCCCAACGATCAAGCGGTACAGCTCTTAACATTACTAACGACAAACCAATGCAGCAAGCACAAATTTCAAAAATATGCCTAATAATCGATCAAAAACTCCCACAACGGATCAGTTGGAAATCAAATTAGGCAATAGAAAAGTAACCCAACTCACCATCCAATGAGATAACCGAATCCCATAACAAAAGTGATGATTCCACAGTGAGCGCGAGACAGGGCCATGGCGGCGTAGCCCAACAACATGGGCACCAAGAAGTGGAGATTGGAAGAGAACCCAAATGAGAGGTAGGACAGAATAGCCCCTGAGAGGGCGGCGTAGATGTGCTTGGGGAGAGAGCCGGGCACAACTCTGTGGAAGAAACTGACCGGAATCGTCGCCGCGAAGCAGAGAAGAAAGCGGAGAACGGGGACGGAGACCCCGATCGTCGCCGCCATGGATTGCATGTCTAAATCCATGGACGGAGATTGCGTGACGATAGCTCTGCCGAGTTCAGAGAACCCCCCCAAGGAAGAAGAATTTAGATTGTTTACTTCCTTTGTTTCTTTAATCTTTCTCTTCCTTGTTTCAGTTGATTTGGCGATGCAATGGCGAGAAAACTTATATAAATGCCCGAACTTGCGAACCGTAGGCACTAGGCAGGTAGCTCAGCTCTCCTCCGAATGTCGTTGTCTTCCTCGCTGGTGCCGAATTACGTTTTTACCCAAGTGTCCGGCGACTTCGGATTCTTGTAGGAAATTGATGAATTGATAATGAGGTTAAATTCACCGAGCCCTTCTAGTGTGCTTTATAGCACCCATGCTATAAAAAACAAAAAAAAAAGGTGACCTATTGAGGAGGTAAACCCACTAAATGACTGGTCCCACATCATTAATGGCAATCTTGTAAATAATGAATCAATGTATACAAGTGTAGGTACAACTTAAAGTTGTACCATTAGTATAGGTACAAGTTTCAGCTGTACCATTGAAGAATTTGTTTCACAAAGTGTAGGTACAACTTAAAGTTGTACCATTAGTATAGGTACAATTTTGAGTTGTACCATGAAGGGATTTATTAGAAAGTGTAGGTACAACTTAAAATTGTACCATGTTATAGGTACAAGTTTGGGTTGTACCATTAAAGAATTTTGAGAAAGTGTAGGTACAACTTAAGGTTGTACCATTAGTATAGGTACAATTTTTAGTTGTACCATAAGGGATTTGTTAGAAAGTGTAGGTACAACTTAAATTTGTACCATGGTATAGGTACAATTTTGGGTTGTACCATAGAAGGATTTTTGAAAGTGTAGGTACAACTTAAAGTTGTACCATTAGTATAGGTACAATTTTGAGTTGTACCATAAAGAGATTTATTAGAAAGTGTAGGTACAACTTAAAGTTGTACCATTAGTATAGGTACAATTTTGAGTTGTACCATAAGGGATTTATTAGAAAGTGTAGGTACAACTTAAATTTGTACCATTAGTATAGGTACAATTTTGAGTTGTACCATAAAAGAATTTTGAGAAAGTGTAGGTACAACTTAAAATTGTACCATATTATAGGTACAAGTTTGGGTTGTACCATAGAAGGATTTTGAAAAAGTGTAGGTACAACTTAAGGTTGTACCATTAGTATAGGTACAATTTTTAGTTGTACCATAAAGGGATTTGTTAGAAAGTGTAGGTACAACTTAAGGTTGTACCATTCGTATAGGTACAATTTTTAGTTGTACCTTAAAGGGATTTGTTAGAAAGTGTAGGTACAACATAAAGTTGTACCATAGTATAGGTACAAGTTTGGGTTGTACCATAGAAGGATTTTGAAAAAGTGTAGGTACAACTTAAGGTTGTACCAATAGTATAGGTACAATTTTGAGTTGTACCATAAAGGGATTTATTAGAAAGTGTAGGTACAACTTAAAGTTGTACCATTAGTATAGGTACAATTTTGAGTTGTACCATAAAGGGATTTATTAGAAAGTGTAGGTACAACTAAAAGTTGTACCATTAGTATAGGTACAATTTTGAGTTGTACCATAAAAGAATTTTGAGAAAGTGTAGGTACAACTTAAGGTTGTACCATTAGTATAGGTACAAGTTTGGGTTGTACCATAGAAGGATTTTGAAAAAGTGTAGGTACAACTTAAAGTTGTACCAAGGTATAGGTACAAGTTTGGGTTGTACCATAGACCGATTTTTAGAAAGTGTAGGTACAACTTAAAGTTGTACCATGGTATAGGTACAAGTTTGGGTTGTACCATAGAAGGATTTTGAGAAAGTGTAGGTACAACTAAAAGTTGTACCATTAGTATAGGTACAATTTTGAGTTGTACCATAGAGGGATTTGTTAGAAAGTGTAGGTACAACATTAAGTTGTACTATAGTGTATAGGTACAATTTTTAGGAAAGTGTAGGTACAACTTTAAATTTAGTGTAAAGGTACAACTCTAGAAAGTGTAGGTACAATTTTGAGGAAACACGGCTCATCTCACGGCCGTGACATGACCCGTGACAAGCAAAAGTAGTTTTCCTATCTCCAGACAATCACACGGCTTATTCTCACGCCCGTGAGAATCAACAGATGAGCCGTGAGAGGTACAGCATTCAATTCCAAAACACGGCTCATCTCACGGCCGTGATAATGTCGAAAGCAACCCGTGAAACCCTCTGGGAAACTGAGACGTGCGTTTTTACATTCACGGCCTATCTCACGGCCTATCTCACGGCCGTGATATTTCCAGAATTACATATCCAAAACCACGTCTTCTTTCACGGCCGTGGGATTTCCAGAATTGGCCGTGAGATTTCCAGAAATAGTCTGCACAGACATGCACCTGTACAACTAACCCTTGTACTTATTATAATGGTGCAAGTAACATAATATACTGTTTGTGAAAACTACAAGCTTATGAAAAGATGAGTCATAATGTTCTTTGAAGCTTGACACGAGCATTACATAGATCCTTCTCTAGTAACTGTACATCATATCAGATGAGATACCCTGTTAACAAAAAGTAAAAAGCAGTCAAAGCTTTACATTTGTCTTATAAAACAAACATCCATAACACGATTAATGCTTAAGTTTAGATGCATGTAGCCCACACTGGTGCATCATAATATTCTAATTCGAAAACATACAAGCACAAAAGCAAACACACATAGCTAAGTACTAAGGACTTTGGTTGGCTCATCTTCACTGCCCATCTTTCTCGTTAGTGTTCTCGTCCTCGTCTTTGTTTTCCTGGATTTGCTCATCTTCATTGTCCTCGCTAGAGTCACTGCTGTCTTCCTCATTGGTCCCTTTGACCTCTTGATTTTTTTCCTTGTTTTGGTCATCGCCATTGCCCTCGTCGTCCTCTTCACTGCTGTCTTCCTCATTGGTCCCTTTGTCCTCTTGAATGCTTTCCTTGTTTTGTTCCTCTCCTTTCTCCTCTTGATTTTTTTCCTTGTTTTGGTCATCGCCATTGCCCTCGTCGTCGTCCTCTTCACTGCTGTCTTCCTCATCGGTCCCTTTGTCCTCTTGAATGCTTTCCTTGTTTTGTTCCTCTCCTTTCTCCTCTTGATTTTTTTCCTTGTTTTGGTCATCGCCATTGCCCTCGTCGTCGTCCTCTTCACTGCTGTCTTCCTCATTGGTGTCACTGTCCTCTTCACTGCTTTCCTTGTTTTGTTCCTCTCCTTTCTCCTCTTGATTTTTTTCCTTGTTTTGGTCTTCGCCATTGTCCTCGTCGTCGTCCTCTTCACTGCTGTCTTCCTCATCGGTCCCTTTGACCTCTTCAATGCTTTCCTTGTTTTGTTCCCCTCCTTTCTCCTCTTGATTTTTTTCCTTGTTTTGGTCATCGCCATTGCCCTCGTCGTCGTCCTCTTCACTGCTGTCTTCCTCATCGTTCCCTCTGACCTCTTGATTTTTTCCCTTGTTTTGGTCATCGCCATTGCCCTCGTCGTCGTCCTCTTCACTGCTGTCTTCCTCATTGGTGTCATTGTCCTCTTCACTGCTTTCCTTGTTTTGTTCCTCTCCTATGTCCTCTTGATTTTTTTCCTTGTTTTGCTCATCGTCATTACCCTCGTCATCCTCTTCACTTCCCTCTTCATTGATCTCCTCGGTTGGCCTAGGAGATAGTTCCCAAGGTCTTGAGAATTGTTCGTAGTCAATCCTCAAGGACCTCATGATCTGATGGTTGCATTCGATGATGTAGCGTCGAGCTTCCTTCTCTCGATCGAGGCGGGAGAGAATGAGTGCATTTTGCTCCAGAATTTGGGCATTCTGCCGACCCAATGCCTCAAAATGGGATATGTAGCTGTCGGTGGATGGTCCGGCTTGAGTCGTAGTTTGGTGATGTTGTGCAGGTTGTTCCGGAGTCTCCTCGACCATTTGCTGAACAACATGCTCCGATGCGTTTGCCTCATCTGTTGCAAGAGGTCGAGCAGGATGAGGGAGGCCAACAATGCCTACCACACCATTCTCCTTAACCACCAAACACAGACATGATCAATATCAGAAGCATTAGTTACATTTGCTCAATGTTCAAAAGGAACTAGATTAGTAGGCAATCCAAAACTTGCACAAAATCAATCCTAGATTGTTTGAATCCCGACTAGTTATGTTTTAGCATTCACTGTGAAAAGGAAAGTGTTGGTTGGAACATTTACCTTTGACAACAAATTTAGATCCGCAAGGTTTTTTTGGGAGATTGGTTGAGTGGACTGGGCAATGGTGCAATGAGAACCCACCGGATCAATGCCAAAATGCCGAGCTAGCCTTGTGATGTAGGCACCTCCATGGATGGTCTTGATTTGTTTGTTGGAGGTGATCTTCTGTAGGGTTTTCAATATGACTATACCAAGATGAATTGGGGGATCTTTTACCATAGAGAGGAAAAAGTTCAAATCCCGCTTGGTCACACTCCCCGGGCTCCCCTCCCTAGCTGCCACAGAATGAGCGATAATGTTGTGGATGATACGCCACGGGGGAAGAAGATCATTCCCTTTATAGTGGGCAGGGTCAGACTTGTCCACATGGTTTTGTTTTACCGTTCTCCACATAGCATTGACCGATTCTGCTCTTGAATGATATATTTGCTCCGAAATAAAACCATGTCCACCTGTGGTGAGAAATCCTGGTGGGTATATCTGGAGTGCCTCTGTGAACTCAGTGATGCTCATCTGTCTCGCCTGTCCTCCAAGGCGAAAAGTTATGTTGTCTTCGGGCTTGTCGAGGTTAAACTCGGACATTCTCTTGATGGAGAGAGTGCTGAGGAACTCAATGGTAAGCTCTCGGTAGATGACCTCATTGATGGAGAGAACCTCACACCATGCCGGGAGACGGAGGCATGTGCGAACGGGTTCCGCTGCTCCGAGGCGCTCTAGGAGATCCCAATCAAAGCATCTTTGCTGCCCAAATGGGAGGGGAAGGAAGCGCTCCAAAGCCTTCCTATGTTCGACGGGTAATTGGAGGAAGCCGTGAAGTCTCCCTCCTCCAAGTTGAGCCTCCGCTTGTGGTGGTGGTGGAGATGGTTGGCGTGCCCGTCCTTGGTTGTTTTTGCGTTGTCGTTTGGGGGGAGTGTCTCGTTCTTGGGTTTGGCGGCGACGAGAAGAAGGAGCCTTCCTTTTAGCAGGTGAGGCTGCTGGTTGCCGGGTTTTTGGTTTAGCTTTCCCCATTCCTACAAAAACCAACTAAGCACATTTAGTCTTTAGTAATGCAATTCTCCCGCAAAACTTGGACCGACTGCAAAAGGGAAAAAGCGAGTACTGCTATAGCCACCAG